GAAGAATTTTTTCCTGGACCCCCTACCAGCATGTTTTTCTGACAGTTGAACACAACAAGGAGTGATCACGGTGGAGAGGAAGAAACGGTCCAAAGCGGTACAAAGAAACTTAAACTAATATAACTCTACTCTTTTTCTACAATGTGTGAAATATCTATAAGAGAGTCAACAAAAAACGTATCAATAAGCTGATAAACAATACTTCCTACTACAATTCCCATGCCACATATTTGCTGCTGCTCATTTTGAAGGGTAGAACACACTTTAGACAGAGAGGAGCCTACCCTTTACTTCACACCGTTACAGCAACATGCAAAGACAAACTGAGACAATATTTTGTAACACAAACAAAACAATAACTATTAATAATTACCTTTTTGAATTCACAAGTGGTGACAAATCATGCACTTGGGGTATTAATCTAGCCTTGATTAAGTGCAACAGCTTTCAAATTAAAAAAACAAATATTGATTAGAGCAGCTTTAAATAAATATTGAAATGGTAATTCAGAAAAGAGGGTACACTATTAAAAAATACCCAACTGACTAGAAACTAATAGTAAGGAAAGGAAATTGAAAATTCAAAGAGTGTCAATAAGGACTGTTCACAAAAACAAGATGAATATAAGACCAGAATTGTCAATGCAATGCACATTTATCATAACTCTCTCTGACTCTCTCTCTCTCCTCTAGATATGATAGAGAGAGCCATTATCAACACATTTGTGGGCCATGACGTGGTGGAGCCTGGTAACTACGTTCAGATGTTCCCCTACCCATGTTACACCAGAGATGAGTAAGAGATGGACTTTGTTATGTTCTCTCTCTAGTGTTTCTGTTTATGTAATAATGTTGAGCAGGGCAGTGACCTTTAACCATCAGGCAGAGATGGGTGTGTCATAAAAATATTTTATGTGGAAACATTATATGAAACAGTTTGTATAAACTGCATTCTTCATATTTGATGAATATATTTCATACCTGTTTCTGAAGATCCCATGCAATTGAAATGCAGTGTGGTCTAAAAATATGTCTATTTGGTCTTTATCTGATGCTCTGTTGTTGTTTTTTTCAGTTTTCTGTTTGTGATTGAGCATATGATGCCTCTGTGCATGGTGATCTCCTGGGTTTACTCAGTAGCCATGATGATTCAGCACATTGTGGCTGAGAAGGAGCACCGGCTCAAAGAGGTTAGACTGTATGATTGTACGTCTGTCACCAGTCTGCGGTGTCAGACCACAGCTAGAATGATGTGTATTACTTACTACTATTATTATTATTATTATTATTATTATTATTATTATTATTTAAAAAGGATAAGTCTGGTGATATTCAGTATTTTCTCAATGCCAACAAGTCCCATGTTCAGAAAAACAAACCAACACTGAGTGTATTTTGACTCCGTCCCACATACCTTCCTGCTCCCTAAATACATTACATTAATCTGCAGTTGAATAGTCCCCCAACAAATGTACTATTTCCTCCTGTTTGAGTTATGTTTGCTATAAACTACAGTGAGCAGCTGTTTACAAAAATTACTGAGCCTTTTTGAAAAATGAAACTATATATTTTGGCGTGTTTTCAAAGATTTATGATTTATTTAGGAACCAGTGGACTAGAATGGTGGGGAAGTTGAGAGGTGGAACTAACACATTGTTGGTTTTGGCCTCTTCATGGGATTTGTTGATAACAAGAAAAATATAGAATAACACTAACAGCATGCATTAATATGTATTGGTAGGAGCAGTAGTTGCAGCACATAATATGTATAAGCAGAATTAAGAATGTAATTAGTATAGCTTAGAGATCCAGTATGTAATTAAACTTGGAATACTGTTTGAGTGGTGTTTCAACCCTGTGAGGAAAGAAATTGTAGGGGAAAGTATTTTTGGCATAAAAACAATGAGAAACAATTGCCATGAAAACAGTCAAATGTACAATATCTAATATCACAGAACAGCGTATTATCCAGCATACCTAATCCATTAAATAACTACTGATCTTTCAAACTCCCACACCTGTTCAACACTACCACTCTCTTTCTGGATGGTATCTTACCTCATGCTAGAACTCCTGCACCTCCTCGAATCGCATACAACCTGTTACCACAAGCTTTTCAATCGCAGCCGGTGGGAGAGTTCTCATGCCCCCTGCAGGCACAATGCTCAATACTCAGCCTGGGAACATAGGTTTTTTTCATGTTTTTGGCTGTGGAGAAAACATTCCAAAGCCAGAAAAAATACAATATAATATTATATATTATAATATTATATTGTTCTTTTCTTGGCTTTGGCCTGAAAGCTGCAAATTTATGGTAGAAAGATTGTGTTACAGACTGGAGCATTTAATATGATAGACTTTGAGGATCTAATCTAGTCTGTCACTATCAAGTTGCATTATGGGAAGTGTAGGATCCAGTGAAAGACATATAACACCTGACTTATACTGGAGGTTAAAAGTCAGGATATCTCTGATTCTAAAGCACTAAATGGCTGGAGTTCTTTTTAAGTCGCATTATTTTAAGTCTGTGTAAAAATGTCAGACAAAGTAGTTACAAGTTCTGACATGTAACTATCATGCCACTTCCTCAGGTGATGAAGATGATGGGTCTGAACAACGCCGTCCACTGGGTGGCTTGGTTCATCACCGGCTTCGTCCAGCTGTCTATCTCTGTCACCGCTCTGACAGCCATCTTGAAGTACGGCCGGGTATTGCTCCACAGCGACCCCTTTATCATCTGGCTCTTCCTCACCATCTACGCTGTGGCCACCATCATGTTCTGGTGAGATGATTTCCCGGTTCCTTGAACTAGCCACGAATCCCTCACTTCTCTATAGGTATAATATTTGTAGAATTAAAAAAAAAATACTGTGCTCTCACCACAGCCCGATTACCTGAACACACACATACACAAAACCAGCCATCCAACCACCATCTTGCATCACCAATATAGATAAGATAATAACAGCCATCCTTCTCAAATTAAGTCTGGGGTATATGTATACATGGACTTACACAGCATCTACATCAGTGTTTCCCAACCAGGGGTACCCCTGAGGGTGCTTCTACATTTGCCACACCACTGTGTCCTTCAGATTCACTCCCCACTCCTCCCCAGCTACATCCATAAGCTCCACCCTTTTGTCCAAATATGGTCACTTCTGGCTCCAAAAAAACAAGAGGGCAACCCTCATAATGTCAAAATCGATTCTTCAAAATGGTAGTCCACAGACCAATGGGTCAACTTCTCTATGTACAATCTGTAATTAGGTTTGTTAACTTTGACCACAAGAATATCTGAGATTTCATGAAACTACTAAATGATAAGTTAAGTGAGTCCCATGAAACTTCCTTTTTCCCCCAGTTTTTTGGTGTCAGTAATCTACTCCAAGGCCAAGCTGGCTTCAGCCTGCGGTGGAATCATCTACTTCCTCAGCTACGTGCCCTACATGTATGTGGCCATTAGGGAGGAGGTGGCCCACGACAAGATCACTGCCTTTGAGAAGTGCATTGCTGTAAGGCCTTTTCTCTCTTTTTTCCCACTTTTTAATTTGAATCTAACTACATTTGGCTTCTGTTTAGGTGAATAACCACCTCTTCACCTGTCTCCTCCAGTCTCTGATGTCCACCACAGCTTTTGGCCTCGGCTCCAAGTATTTTGCACTGTATGAGGTTGCAGGTGTTGGCATCCAGTGGCGGACCATCAGCCAGTCCCCGGTAGAGGGCGACGACTTTAACCTGGGTCTGTCCATGATGATGCTCATCATCGATGCTGGTGTGTATGGTGTGCTCACCTGGTACATAGAGGCTGTACATCCAGGTATGAAACCCCACCTCCATGTTCTTCATTTTTAACACATATTTTCAGATAGATTAGAGTAGTTACGAAGTTAAAAGGTTAGATTTGTTTATCATACGGGACTAAGTTGTGGTTCCCTTGATTGGTACACACAAGACCAAAAGTTAAATACAAAAAATGATATGCAGTAGATAGGTGAATAAATAATAAGTCAAAGTAACTAAAAGTCTTTACTTACTTCATGAACCTGGAAGATAGCTCAGCCCATCCATAAAATCCATCTGGATAAATTTGGGATTGGATAAATGGATGGCATGATTTGCCGCCTCAAAAAATGTTTAAACTAACCGTAGTCTATCTAAAAGGAAGACATATTCCTCAACTGGATGGCTAATTTCTTGCTTAAAATATTTTTTTAGAAACACAAGTCTCTAAATGAGTAGCCATGTTGGTACAGTTTGAAATCCAGGATCAGAAGGCATTCGTTCTGTCAGGGTATAGCCTTTTGTTGGTCAATATGACTACAAGTCCATAAGTCCAATGCTGGGAACCCCTCATGTCCAAAAACAGCCCTGTGGACACGTACCTTAAGAAAACAAATATATTAATATAAAACAAGTGTTGGTAGGTGATTATCTGGAGTGGTAAGGTCAAGTGTAAGGTTGACATAAATGTGGAACTGAGAATCTGTGTGTCTATAAATTCAATTCAGTGATGTGTTAAAACAAATTAGTATATAATGTGCTTTGTGCTACTGCATGAGTTAATGTGCTTAAGTGCAGCAACTACATTTTATTAAAACATGTTAGGAACCCTTGCTGGCTCCAAAAATAAATAAAAAAAAGAAAGACAAGATTAAAACCTGCTTATCCGTTCCTTTGTGGCAACAGTGTCGGTTTTTCTGTTTGTTTGGGATTCAGCTCTCATGCTCAGTTTGCTAGCATCAGCCGAGTTGGTCCCTGGATATCTGCTCGAAGCGCTCTTTTACTCTTTTTGAAGTCTGACGCAGAATGCTGTGCTTGCTTAGGCAGCACATATGATAAACTGGTCTTTCTCTCATTCTGTAGTTTATGTGTTTACCCTTTCTTATAGGAATGTATGGACTGCCCCGCCCATGGTACTTCCCCCTGCAGAGGTCCTATTGGTCAGGCAGTGGGCGTGTTGAGACCTGGGATTGGCCGTGGTGTGGAGGTGGGGCTGCCAGGCTCAGTGTGATGGAGGAAGACCAGGCTTGTGCCATGGACCAGCGAAGAACTGGTACGGACCAATGATTATTTGGGGCTGACGAGGACATCTCATATTCTATAGATCCACTTCAAGTCAAACTTTTACCCACAGTGATCTATTAACTAGCACATTGGTCCATTATTATTCCTCTTATACAGTAATGACTGACCTATTATCTAGTTGTTTCTTATGCCGGTCGACACGGTCATTTTCCTTTCCAAGTATTGATATGATTGACGCCATACTCTCTACTGACTTTATTTCCTCATTTAATTCCCGACTATAAATGAAACAAACTGCAGGTGTTCAATTCTCCTAGTTAACATTTGTCTATGTCAAAACCCATAGTAATGACTAACCAAACATTTTCTGAAATGTTCTTATTTACTTTCTCTCAGAGAATATATAACATGTATGTTCAGTCAGTATAAACTAACTTAGCTTAGCACAAAGACAGGAAACAGGACAAAAAACCTAGCTAAAGTCTGAATAGGATTTTCTTTGCTGTGCTTACAGCATTGAAGAGTTACATTTATTAAAAATTCAACAGTGTCCCTGTTACTCTAGATAATCCACACAATGCTTGTGTGTCTGTCAAAATAATTTATATTCTTATCTTATCTTCAGTAGAAAGTAGATCCAATGAAAACAATTTAGGGTAGAGGCAGAAATCTCAAATACTGGACAAACAAAACCAGAATTATTTTTATGGAGAGATGTCACTGAAGGCATCTTTACGAATTTACCATAGAACCTCATACTGTAGCTATCAATATAAAAAGTCATATATAAATGCATGGTGACTGAGGATCTTAGGGGAGTGACACTACATCTATGCTCTGTTTCATTATGCGTTTTTGATCATTCTGAATATTTTGAATAGCTTTTGACTGTGTCTGCTTAGTGTAAGCATGACTGAGACAAGTGGTAGTTTTTTCATATCTATTTCTATATTTAAGTATTATTTCATACATCATTTGTTTCTCCCTTTCTCATTGTAACCCCAGAGGAGATGCGGGGCATAGAGGAGGAGCCGAGCCACCTGCCATTGGTGGTGTGTATAGACAAACTTACCAAGGTGTACAAGACCGGCAGCAAACTGGCCCTCAACAAACTGAGCCTCAACCTCCATGAAAACCAGGTGGTCTCCTTCTTGGGACACAACGGCGCTGGCAAGACCACAACCATGTGAGGGGCAGTAGTGGAGTAGTGTGTTTGCTTGTGTGTGATGATAAGAGTCAACACTAAAGATTAGTGTTCAACTAAAATACTGGTATATAAAAATGTCTCTGGAAGATGGTTTAAATCCATTTAGCTTTCACATTAAAATAGATTGAGGGAATTTTGGCATTAACAGCTGTCATATTTAAAGCCCTAGAAAACTTGGTGTCAAATCCCAGGTATTTCTCTACAACATTGCTTGAGCCAGGCAGGAGGGGCCAACTTTATATGGTGTATTTACAAACAGCAACGGACAAATCCTGCATAGTATGCTTTTTAAATGATCTGTATAACTAAACAAGCAACAGCCGCAGTTAATAATGTAAAACTAATGAATAAAGTAATAATTCTTAAAGACCTCAGTCTGGGTGATTTGGCTTTATTTGGATTTGGTACTATAACCTGAGGTTACTGGTGGTAACAGTGGGTGGGTTTTAACAATGCAGGTCCCATTGTTCCTTTGAAAATGAAAAATGACAGGTGATGGTGGGTCAGTATTGTGTTTCCACTGATCTCAAAATGAAAAAAATAAAACATTTTATTCAAGTAAATTAACTTTTGTAAAAATTTACTTAGATTAAAGTAAAATGTAACAATGTACTCCATAGCATTTTTAAAAGACAGCACATGACAGCACTATTGAATGAACAAGGCAATGCAGCGGTTGTTTGGGATGGTTATCGTTAGGATTTACTGCTTATCAATACCAATACTTAACAATATTCTTATTGGTACTAGTTGGCATAACTTGGTGAAAAAATTAAAATAATGTGCAAAGATTACACTTATTACAACACTTATTTTATTATTCCTTTTTTGAAAAAGATAAGTTAAATTTAATTGATTAAAGAGTTAAATTTAGTAAAGTTAGCCCATACGAATGTTTAAATTAATGTAGTTAATAGTACCAAGTATGGTATAGCAGTATTGGTACTGGTTCTCGATACCCATCCCCTGTGGTTGTTGTCATTAACCTCTGGAGAGAGACTTAAAACAATCTGACAATCAGTGAGTTACTTGTTGCACTGATCTTTTCGAACAGCATTCTGGGAGCCTTGAGCACTGGAATGTCCTCCACTATCTGCTCTAGGTTCAATTTCTTCACTCAATCAACCAGCTCAAGCACAAAAAACTGGAGCATCTGTCAGCTGTTTTTAGGTTACAGTTACATATTTAGATAAAGTTATCTACTGTTAGACCATTTTATGCCAACAACATCAAACAAGCAGCACAGGATCCAACATATTTAGGCATGCAACATACAAATTCTTGCTTTACTTGCCTGACACTAATGCTACTTCAACTCACTACCAACACTGAATTGTCACAGGTCCATCCTGACAGGCTTGTTCCCGCCCACATCTGGCTCTGCCACCATTTATGGTCACGACATCCGAACGGAAATGGAGCGCATTCGTCAGAACCTGGGCATGTGTCCGCAGCACAACGTCCTGTTTGACAAGCTGAGTGTAGAGGAGCACCTGTGGTTCTACTCCAGACTCAAAGGCATGGCTGAGGAAGACATACGCAAGGAGATGGACAAGTTAGTAAAAGTCTGCTAGACAGCCAAACCACATATTGAACAGCAACTGAAAAAAACTGCAAAGTAGAGTAATTATAGTTTGGATTAATTAGAGAATGAGAATATGTCTGTTAAACAGCAGCAGCAGAGTGGTGAGTATATGACCCTGTTGTTGCACTGATGGAAATGTACATTATACTGAATTAATTGTGTTAGCATTTACAGTGCAGAAAAATGGTTACACAGTATTGTAGTTATAGACACTGATATGGTGATATGGTATCAGCTCTATGACAAACAACTTGCTTTGCTGTGTGTGTGTGTTTGTGTGTGTGTGTGTGTGTGCTTGTCCAGGATGATTGTTGACCTGGAGTTATCCAACAAGCGTCACAGCTTAGTGCAGACTTTGTCTGGCGGGATGAAGAGGAAGCTGTCAGTGGCCATCGCCTTCGTTGGCGGCTCCAGGGCTGTCATCCTAGACGAACCCACGGCGGGCGTGGACCCCTATGCTCGCAGGGCTATCTGGGACCTCATCCTCAAGTACAAACAGGGTGAGCGAATGCTCAGTATCAGAGGAGATCTTTGCATTCTGCTCCAGCAACTACACAAATAGTTATCATTGCATTCCGGGGCTGTTTTGAAGAAAAGAAAGTCATGCCAGTCTTTTAGATATATTTTCCTGTTGCTATTTGTTCGTGCTTCAGCAAAGCTGCCTTCACCTCGGGTATCTGCTGTATTAAAGCCTGTCCCTCAGTAATACAGGATCTTTTCCACATCAAGGAACTGACCCTTCTGTAGTCCTGCCTCTTTTTGCTCTGTGCTCCAATAACAGTTGAGCAAGCCTAAGTTAGAACCTCTTTCAACTTTCTCCTGCTTACTTTTCTTTATTGTAGAGGACGAGGCTGCCTGGGATCAGATGTACGTACTTACTTGCAAACTCTCACTATGTTTAAGACTGCAAGAAGTGTCATGGATATAGTTAATATATATAGGTAATTGTAGTCCACATCGAGCTGTCCAATGTCTGTTTTGACTTGTGCGAGACGTGAAAAACCAAAAATGCTTGAAATGTAATGAGCTTCTATATTCAGTTTTCACATTGTTACAGTGGGACTTCCTGTCTCTTTTCGATTTTTGTTTGATGATTGCAGTGCATACCAACTGCTGTATGTGTGTTTTATATGTCTGCCCCAGGCCGTACCATTCTGCTGTCCACCCACCATATGGATGAAGCAGACCTTCTGGGAGATCGCATCGCCATCATCTCACATGGGAAACTCAAGTGCTGTGGCTCGCCACTCTTTCTGAAGAGCACCTATGGAGACGGATACAAACTAACACTGGTCAAAAAGCAGAGCGAAGGCAGAGGTGTGTGTACATGTGCATGAGTTCTAAATGGCTCTTGTTTTCAGTTTGTCCACCTGTAAGGCTGTCCGACTGTACATCATCAACAGCTTTATCAGCTTCATGTGATGATGGTCACCTGTTGATGAATTCCCTCCAATCTCTTCTCAGTTCATCCTAACTGTCTGTGGCTTTATACTGACAGCACTGTGTATTATTTTCCTTTCCTGTCTCCTCCACCCATCCTTCATGTTGTGTGTCTTCCTCTCACCCTTCAGGCCAGGGCAGCCAGCTGCAGCCTCCCTCATCTCTGTCTCCCTCCTCCTCTCTGTCGCCTTGCTCAGAGTCTCGGGTCACCCAGTTTATCCGGCAGTTTGTGGCATCCTGCCTGCTGGTGTCCGACTCCAACACTGAGCTGTCTTATGTCCTGCCCTCTGAGGCCGTCAAGAAGGGCTGCTTTGAGAGGCTGTTCCAGGTACACAGACACACGCAAAAGCTAGATCTTGTTAATGGTAATTTGTTACTGCATATACAGTGGAAAAATGCATGTGTATATAGCATCTTTCAAACTGAGTAATATTAATATGAATAATATATTATTTTTTTTTATAATTTTTCCATCAGCTGAAACAAAACCATTTCATTCAGCACCACAAGTTCATGGCCAAAAAAACAGTAATAACATAAAATGGCACACCAGATACACCTCAGGGCATCTAAGAAGATGTGCAGAACAGAACTGTTTGACAGGGTTTTTACATTGCAATAAAACAAAAGGGGTATGAATAATATAAACATTTCAACATATTTTTGAAGTTTGCCGTGAAGTGCAGTGTATGGCCCCCATCAGAGCTACACACAGAACAGTTTTAATGTTAGCCAGCTCTTAGTGGCAGCGAAATGTGGATGATTAAGTTACCCAAGCGTTTTTATAGTCATGGCAAAGCCAGTTTGCGTAGTGTGACACACAAATAAAACACTACAAAGTTGGATGGGTTTGATCCATCATCCTTTATTTTGATACTGCAGACAGTGCATCTAGCAATTATTTTGTTTGGGCCTTGTGTGAAGTTATTACAGACGAAGATTGTGACAAATTGCTCAGCAGGTGAGTTTGTTGTTGTTGTTGCAGCTGACACTCCTCTGTGGACGCAGGCAGATATGTAAGGTTACAAATGAGAATAAGGGGGGGGAATGACAGTCAGCTGGTCAGACATTCACTTAATGTTAATGCACAAAAAAATTAAATAAAGATTGTTCACCAGTCCCAAATCTTGAGTGGAGTCTTTTGAGAAGAAGTCTCAAGTCAAGTCTCAAGTCACTGTGTGTGCAACTCAAGTGCCTGTAGTTAGGGTAGGAAAGGTTTACAAATTAATGGTTCGGTTCATATCACGGTTCTGGCTAATAATAAAAGGAACACACTTCAAACACACAAAAAATTTCTAATTAGTGCTAACAGAAATTACAGCTTTGTAATTTTATTGAAAAATGACCACATTACTAATCATATGTTGAAACTCTGCATCCTCCACAACTGCATGATAGAAATGTGTTATTGTTGGCATGTACAGTCATTTGACATTCTTTTCTGTTGTGTGCCTCCAGGCTTTAGAGCAGAGCTTGGACAGCCTGGCCTTGACCAGCTTCGGGGTTATGGACACCACCCTGGAGGAGGTGTTCCTCAAAGTGTCTGAAGAGGACCAGTCTCTGGAAAACAGTGACGCTGGTGAGACCATGTTCCTCCCCCTCTGTCTCCAGATAGCTCAACCTCCACAAAGTTTTTAGCTTTCATAAATAAGTCATGACTTTCTCAACAAAAATAGATCTCCGCAAAATGTGCACTGTCTGAGGAAAAGTTCTGACTGAGTTCATTATTTTGCTGCAGGCTGAGATAATAATCTTTTCTCTTTCTGGGCCTGGCAGACATAAAGGGTTCTCCGGGGGGCAGCTCTGTGGGGAAATCCTCAGTGGGTTCAGCAGAACTGGGGGCATCACAGGGTGAGACCGGACCTTCAGTAAAGAGTGAGAAGCCGGAGGTGGAGCTGAGTAATCTGGTGATGTGCTCCAGGCTGAGCCAGAGCCAGTCCTCCCTGAAATCCTCCTCGTCCATCGGCTCAGTGAGGGGGGATGAAGGGGGTCTGTACGCAGACTTCTATGGAGATTACTGTCCACTCTTTGACAACGGCCAAGAGTCTGACTCTGCCAGCCTAAGGGGTAAGACATTAAGATGGCAGCTGTGTCATCCCAGTCACTGACAGCTGCAGCCAGGAGATGCTGGATGGGACAGCATACTATATATATTGTTTTTGCTTTTGCTGCTCACATTGGGTCTTATGCAGGAACAAATCTCATGAAAATATAAGTTCTTAAGTGGCATTTAAAAGTGATTAAGGAGAACTTGAAAATAAAGTCCACACTCCACTGCAGTATATGGAGATATACTGTATGTTCATCTTGCTACCACTACCCTTAAGGCTCTGAACACCATTTACCACAGTGCCATTTTATTCATTACTCAAGACTTATATGAAAGTTATATGAAAAGGTCAGATCACAGACATCTAGAAGGTATTAGCATACCTGTGTTTTCATTTGATTTCAAGTACTTGTTATTAAGTAACAAGAGTTATTATTCCTCATACAGTAATAACTCTGAACTGGGGAAGACTGGGTTCCAGTGCAATGCACCTTACCTACTGAAAAACAAATTTTATGAGGAAATTTTTTTCTCTCAGGTTTTATGAATATTTTGTTTGTATGTGTTTGTGTATGTTTGTGTGTGTGAGGACTGCAATTGTAGGGTTATATATATTATTTTTTCTCAGGACTATGTTTTCCACATTATAATAAGATGTTTTCATGTTAACTTATCACTTTATAAGAATCCTTTCTGGCTATATCGATATACCATTTATCTTTTTATAACATAAAATGTTTCACGTTATAATGTGATAACTTGTATTGTTACAAAAATATACTATCTTGTTAAAAGTACTATACTAATATATATACTAGCATATATTAATATGCTATTTATCTTGTTATAACATGATAACTTATTGCATCATGTTAAGACAATATCAGTTATCATTTATAACGTAAAACATTATATGTTATAACAATGAGTTATCACACGAAACGTTTCACATTATAAGATAAGATATAAGCTTATTATCATAATGTGGTTAGTTTTTATATATATATACTGATCTGTTTTTATTTTTCTGTCGTGGCAGCAATATGCTTCCATATTGAACATATAAAGCTAAAACTGTAATGATTATCAAGATGTACTCCACAAAATGTGTTTTTTCAAGTCTGCAAGTCATCATTCACACAGGCAGATATGCATTGTAACTGCTATTCATTTCATTATTAATCCATTTTGTCTTGTCTTTCTTCCAGGCAATGCAGAAAACCCATCGTCCCCAGAGCCAGAGGTCCTGGAGGGGCAGGGCAGCTTTAAGTTGGAGGGTTGGTGGTTAAAGCTGAGTCAGTTTCATGGCCTCATCGTCAAGAGGTTCCACTGTGCCAAAAGGAACACCAAGGGCCTCTTCTCTCAGATCCTCCTACCCGCCTTCTTCGTCTGTGTGGCCATGACTGTGGCCCTATCTGTGCCTGAAATAGGTGAGCTTTTACATATATTGTTGAAGTTGGTTTTTATCCTGCTCCTTAGGACAAAGATAACCTGTTTGTCTGTCCTACCAGGCAGGTAGTAAGTGGGCTCAGTGAAAAAGAAGGTGAATGCACACCAAGTCATTGCTGTCATGATCCAGTGCTGATATAAAAATATTGATTTCTGCAGCTTTGATAAATGAAAGCATTAATCAATAATTGGGAAGAATTTAAAATAACATAAAACAATGTCATCAAATGGTTAAGGCTTTCTGATCTACAGGGCTCTTGCTTAATGTTGACAAAACTGTTTTGTCAACAAAAAAATTTCTTGCAGTTTGCGCTGCATTGTCAGTAAATGCTATTTTTAAAATAAATAAAAGAATCTCTAACTTGTGGATGAACATTACATTTGTCTTGTTTTACAGGTGATTTGCCACCCCTGATCTTGTCCCCTTCTCAGTATCATAACTATACCCAACCTAGAGGCAACTTCATCCCCTATGCCAATGAAAACAGACCCCAGTACAGGTAAGATAATGTGTTTTATGAATACCTTTCTTTGCAATGTATTTTAGTGCAGTTTAAATTGGATCTATTCACTGTTAAAGTGAGAAAAAACAATATATTTCTGTCTGGACCATTGTGGTGGACCTACAGATCTTGCTGTCTCTATGCTGTTGGTACTGTGAAAGCACTTTGAGTGGTCAGAAGAAATCTGTGCACAGATGGCTAAACTGAGTATATGGTTGAGAGAAAATTTTGCAGTAAGGCTGCCAGTGTCTCACATTCATAACAAAAGCAGGGAATAACTAATATTCTGAAAGCACAGATTTTTAACATTTTTTAGTGATAACAATATGATATACCAAATGCTGCAGTTAACAGACTAAAAACAAGCAGCTATTCCTTAAAGGAGCTGCACTACTCCTATAACACACTGTACCACATTCCTATAGCACAATGTAATATAAGTAAGGATAAGTACATATTTTAAATTTGTCTTAAAACAGTACCAACATACGCTGCTGATGGTTGCTTTAGTCTTTCCTCCTGCCCATATTGGCCTTTCTGCAGTGATTACAGTGTAAAAGATGGGGGACAAAATCTACAGTCCTCATTCTTTGGAAGCTAATATCAGGATTCTGTGGTCTGAAAATGTCAAAAAACAAGTTATTTTTAGTGCCAAATTTCAGTTTTGTGCTTCCACAGATGGAACCTAATCACAGTATCACAATATTAAAGTAATATAACTAGATTGCTTTCCATTTGATTTTGGATTACCTCATTTCTAAATATGCAAATTTGTAGCATCAGAAATGTGTCCTTAATAATCATTTTGACTAAATGTATCTGTAATCTGATTACATGTTTTCTCTGTCACTAATGGATTAAAGTTACCTTTCTTTGTATCCCGCATCTGCACGTGCCATCGTACACAGATCAAGGAATTTTGTCCCCTTTCAGTTGCACTGAAGTCGCTTTAGAGAGATATCTCTAAAGCAACTTCAGGCCATGTTAACAGTGGTCTCAAGGTACATAGGGGCACCTTTTAAGACAGACATGAATGAATGTGATACTTTAACATCTCAAAACTACATACCCTGGTTTATATTTATTGGTTGCAAAAGCTTTTTGACAGTGCAAACCCCTTGCAGGCAGGATGTTGTATACATAAATGATATACTGGCTTTAAAGAACATACGTTTAACTTTTTTTTTTTTTTTTCAAAAGGCAGTTGCTTCTGCACAATTTGATTTAAAATGCCCTGCAAACTCATAGTAAACCCTCACAGGTTTTTGTCACTTGTTTTGACTTATTTGACCTCTTCACTCAGGGTTCCCCAAACCTGGAAATTTAGAGACCCGTTTTACAGTCATGAAAATGCCTGGAATGTGATTAGAATTACCAAAAGATCCTGGAAACAATGTTGTCCTGCACATTTTTTAATTGTATTTTAGCTCCTCACTAATTTTTTTAGCCAAGATAAATTCTACTTGATTTCAACTGGGATGTATGGGCTGTGGCCAATGCTGGCCATACTATTATAGTGAGAGGAATACTGTAGTATGACCAGAGACTGAAGTGGAAAATTTGGTTGTGGTGAGAACAGCCAAGCGCGGCACTAATGTTAGCCAAAACGGAGCGTCCATGCATTACACATATTAGAGCGGCATACAGCAGTGGTTTTGTCAGAGTCAAAATGGACAAATTCTGGTATAGATCTCTTTGGTCCAGAAACCCACCGTAACATCTCTGGCCTCCCCTCTCAGGAGTAAGCTGTCACCAGACGCCAGCCCGCAGAAGATCATCAACACCCTCCGTCTGCCCTCGGGGGTGGGCGCTACCTGCGTCCTCAAAACCCCCTTCAACAGCACCCTGGACCAGCTGGCCCAGACCCTCAACCCCAGCGCCAATAACTCCAAGACTCTGGCCGCCCGCTACTTTGACTCCATGTGTCTGGACTCCTTCACCCAGGGGGTCCCCCTCTCCAACTTTGTACCCCCGCCTCCCTCACCGGCACCTTCAGATGACCCAGAACCTCGCTTTGAGGACGGACTGTGGAACTTGACAGTCGCCCCTCCAACCACAGTCCATGGTGAGTCCATCTCATAAGGCAGGTGTGCAACCCACTTAAATATGTTTAGTTTCAAATATATCGTACAGTTCAGGCTAAAATACAGACAAGGGATAAATTAAAGAAAAAACCTGAATAAATGAGGACAAATGCAGACACCAAGGATCATTGCATAATTTGATGAGAATGATTCTGATTTTAATCAATTGAATGCCTATAGAAGAATGGAAAGGGTTCCAGGGACCAGGAAGTCTGGGTTTTTCATTTAAAATGTCACCAATCTGTATATCAGCATATTATAATGTTCTACTGGAAACAGTACCACCTTTAGCCTAGCCCTGCAGCCTATAGCACTGTGATAAAGGAACACCATCAGGTATTTTGTCGGCAATGGATACAAAGAAACTGCAACAAGATGTAATTTGTGCTTCTAAGAAGACTCGTCTCTATACATCTTACAGGTTCCAAACTGAAATGAACCAAATAAGTTGTTCCTCCATCAAACATTAGCTGTTTATAAAACCACTGTTAATGTTACTAATTCCATCTGTGCTTTTCCTCTTTTATGTATATCCAGAGCCCGTGACATCTCCTCCCACACTCCCCCTCTCCGTCCACGAGCCGGTGCGTTGTACCTGCTCCATGCAGGGGACAGGCTTCTCCTGCCCCAGTGGGGTGGGAGGGCGGCCCCCCCTCATGAAGGTGGTGACAGGTGACATCCTGGTGGACATCACAGGCCGGAACGTCTCTGAGTATCTGCTCTTCACATCGGACAGACTGCGCCTGCACAGGTAAGAATGCTGTGGGGGCGTTTTATAAAGGAAGCCTAATTTCGATACTTTTTCATTACTGTACTTTAAGAAATTTTTTTACAGTATTTTACTGTTGTTTTGACTCAGTTTTCACAATGTATAAATCTGATAATACCTAATGCTAAGTTTGGCCTTAACATTTTAAATAGCATTGTTGCATTTTAAAATGAAAAGGTCATGATCACATAATGCTGTCAAACAAACTAATGCTCCTCAAAACAGAGCCCGCAGGGGTCGTTTCCTCAAGATTATACAAATAGCAATGAGTCTGATTTTATACTACAGTCAATAATATATATATACACATTTCATTTTTCTACTCCATCAGTATATTTTTGCTTTTTTATCAAAAGCACAGTTTGTATTTTTATTCAACCTATACGTTTAGTCATTAAAACAATGATTCTCAACCACCGAACCGCAACCCAGTATCAGTCCACGCAATGTTGGCCACCAGGCCACAAAGGTGTTATCTTACCACAAAGACACTGGGTCAATAATTTAACATCACACTGTAGTCCAGACAAGATCCTCTTCAATGAAAGGAAATGAGCCACTATGTTTAGGAAGATCTGGGGAACCTTCATAGACGACTAAAATTTTTTACTGTTTTACTTCCAACTGGACCAATTTATATTTGACATTCGAACATACTTTCAAACAGATTTTTCTCTTGTTGTTTTAAAGGAGTGTACCATATATGATTTTTTTGAGCATTACAGTTTTCTTTTTTTCTCTCCTCTTTTGTTATTTGTAATTTTTTTTGTGCAATATTGTTGGAAAATGGGAAATACAGGCCGAGTCTGCTCTGCCTGTATTTTACCAATAAAATGATCATTTAAAAAAAAAGATGTTATCTTACAAGAACCAATCATCCATCCACTCCCCTGACCCCCTGCCACCTCCTCGATGCCAGTGCCAGGAATGAAGGATAGATTTAGCAGTAGACGTAATGTAGGAAACACCCTGATAGGGGGTTTTCCCCAAATTACATATGTAGAAACAGGCCTAAATTCCTCACTTAGTTGTTTATTTATTTATTTTTCTTTGTAATTCTTCTTTGCAATTTCACACCATAAAGTCTTAGTGATGGGAGCATAGGATCAGAAACTCTTGACTGGGAAGGAAGCAAAGAATCCTGCACACTGTCCATCACTTCTACTTTATTAACAAAGTTTTGGTCCAGACCTCATTTTGGTTTTTTTCTGACTAAATAAACTTTGCCTGATATCGGTCTGAGTGTTGAAACATTGTTAATAAAGCAAGTACAAGTGATGAACAGTGTGCAGAATTCTAATACTTGGTATTAGAGGCAGCGATAGCCTAATAAAGTCTCAGGTTTATCTCACAACCTATCTTGACTGAGTGCATTTGTTTAAGTCCCACTGTTTTCACAATTATCTGTTGAAAACACAAATAATAAAATGCACTATAACTTCATTTTGTCTTGATTATGTACAAATGTACTATAATACCTGAACAGAACATTAAAATGTTTGTATTGACTTTGCTCTTAATAGATATGGTGGTTTAACAGTGGGGAACATCCAGAAATCTATCCCAGCATCCTTTGGGAGAAAGATACCTCCAATGGTTCGCAAGATAGCGGTTCGCAGGTCGGCTCAGGTAAGGACTCTGAACCGGACAGGAAGTTCACAAATACAGTAAAAACAACCACTGACATGGTGACTGTTTGTGTCCAGGTTCTATACAACAACAAAGGTTACCACAGCATGCCAACCTATCTGAACGTCCTTAACAATGCCATCCTGCGTGCCAACCTGCCAGCATCCAAGGGCAACCCTGCCGCCTACGGTAATGACATAAGATACAACATGGAGAGAGATTTGTTTGAATTTGAAGACAGTAAAATTTCTTCCCAGTTAAATGCCAAAAAACTGACTATTGTCTACATAAATGAGGTTGTTGTGTGTATGTGTTTTGCAGGTATCACACTGACAAACCACCCAATGAATCGAACCAGTGCCAGCCTCTCATTGGACTACTTGTAAGTTGCTCAGCAGCACTGATGTTTAGTGCCTTGAAGGATGACTTAGAGCAGTGCTTCTCAACCTTTTGGAGTAGCAACCCTCCAGAAAAATCAGGTTGAGGGTAACGTAACACATGAAAGCTACCAAACTCACACAGGAAGATCATTGCTTTGCCCACAGACAGGACAACAACTAATTCATGTTTTCAGATTTCTTTATATATAGATAGATTTATTTGTTCACAGTCAGCATGTCTGCTTTAGGCCTAAAAACACAATAATAGATAGAAATATATTTTCATATTAACATATATAAAAAGTAAGTATACTACGGAAGCCGAGAAAGGCCATGGATTTTTTTTTTTTAATGCACGTTATCTCGTGATAACGACTTATAAATTTTGTTTATCTCGAGATAACAAAGTTTGGTTTTTCTCGTTATTATACGAATTAATTATTTCGTTTTATCTCGTTGATAATAATTAATTTAATAATTGTTCGTCTTTACTTCAAACTAATGCGCTGCCATGAACGGCTTTCGTTCACTTTACCGGTCCGGCTTACAGCCCCTCAGCAGTGGCTACGGACATTATCGCATTAGTTTAAAGTCAAGACGAACACATTAATAATTAATTCGTTATCACAAGATAACGATCTTTGTTATGTCGAGATAACGAAATAATTAATTCGTTATAACGAGAAAACAAACTTTGTTATCTCGAGATAACAAACTTTGGTACAAGAGTTGCCACGAACGTAGCCACTGGCTGTAGTACTGTAGCTGTGCTACGGTAAATTACACTTTACCTGTTTGTTTACTTGACTGGAAGCGTTGTGAGCAGCTCTTGTAGGTTGAAATCAAGACGAACACATTATTTAATAGTTATCTCGAGAAAATGATCTTTGTTATATCGAGATAACGAGATAATAAGTCGTTATCACGATATAACAGTGCATGAAAAAAATAAATAAATCCATGGCCGTTCTCGGCTTCCATATATGACAGCTGAAATGATTCAGAAAAGAAAAAATTAGTTTGTATATACCATAACACTTTTATTAAAAGCAGAAGCAGGTCTCCTTTACTACTACATGTTTTGACAAATAAACACAGCTCTCAATTAAAGGGCCTGCTTTGGACTTTATAGGAGTTCTTTGGATGTATGAAAGTACCTGGTCGCTGGCTTGAGAGAGTTTTAAGCTGCTTAGATCACCTACACGAATATAAATGTTTACACCTTGCTACCCATCGTTTGATTAGTCCGATTCTCCACAATTCAATCCTTCAGTTCAAGTATCAAAGTGTTAAATGAATGATTATTTAATAGTATTAATATTACCAAACAATTTGCTGAGCAAGAGTTTTGTGCGAAAGGATTAAAGGCCTGTCCCATAGAGGCCTGTTTCAAATAAAGGCTGGCTGAGTTCAGTGATTAAATCAAATAAAAGCCCAGTCTATTAATTGATGTTTTATGGTACTTTTTACTACTCTTTAACATCATAACAGAATTATAATTAAGGATATCTTTAAGAGTCCCTTAACCTAGGACTTGTCTTTTTTTGTTTACAAATGAGTTTAAAAGAAGTTACAGGCAGTTGTTTGAATCCTGCAGTGAATCCTTGTAGCCTGCTGCCACTAGAAGGCACTCAGACAACATTTGAGATCAGCAAGTCCCAATGGGTGTTGTAGAACAACAAAACCCTACAGCCACTCCAATCCGCCGCCTATTTGGGTGTAAGTGATTTCTTTCCCTGTGCCACAAGTACTTCTGTGGGTGACAAGTTAGCCAGAGCAAGACAAAACCCTAAAGGCTAACACCTCAGTTGTCCTGAAAATAACATGCTTACGTGACACTTCAGAAAAATCAATACAAAATGAAAGAGTGGGAGGGAGGATGAATGGAAGGACAGAGAGAAACAAAAGACAGCGTGTGAAATGAAGAGATTTAAGATAGAAAAGTGTGAAGCCAGACCGGAGGGAAGGAAATGGCAGTGAAAAGACAAAGAAATGTTCCTTGGCAACACTGAGTCCCGCGTTTCCAAGCAACAGGGGTAAAGCCATTTCTTACCAGGTAATAACCGGTCAAGAGGCTGAGCCCTCCATGGCCTCTCAGCTTGTGAAAGCTGCTCCCTTCCTCCCAAACTAATCTCCATCTCTAGTCAGACTCTTTAACCAGGGTGGAGACAGTTAAAGTGCTGTCACAGAGACAAAAGGAGCCTGGTAGTGTGGCTGCACTGTGTTCCTTTCATGGCCTGCCCTCCAGCAACAGTGGTAGCAACAGAGACACCGTCAGGCAACACGACTATGTGATTATCAGTCTCACACTCTCCCTCCACTGACTGGCTCAATCACCTCTGTATTACTCTCTCTAGTCCATCTCAATATGAGACATGTCACTGACTAACTAAAGGACATATGGGATGTTTGATGGATTGTTCATGAGCATGACAGTATCCTAAGCTGCCACTTCTAATAAACAAATAATATTTTATGATGATAGCAAAACATGGTTGATAGCAGCTTGAATGTGATTAGACACGTTTTCACCTTCACAATTGCATTACAGTTACAGAGAGCTTCTTACTTGCTCATGTCTAGAGAATAACGTGACTAGCCCACACAACAACTTTTTGGTACTCAATTATTTATCCATAAATATTATATCGGATGGGTCCAAGGTGTAAATTATAACCTGACAGACTGTTGTAGAAATATGACAGCCAGTGGAAAGTCTGGTGTAATGGGCGAAGAAGAATTGCCCAAAAGAAACATAGCCAAGTGCAAATTCATCAAGAGTGTTGTGAGATGTTTGTTAAAAGTTAAGGAGGATCCAAAGAACAATCCAAAATAGTGCTACAACACAACAACCTGTCCTACAGGAAAATATTCAATTAGCCATTACTTTAGATCTTTTGTTTTAAAAAAAGCTTTGGAAGTTTAAAGGTAGCAGCTTTTTAAAGAGTTTCTCACTATGTGACAACAACCATCTGCGTGCTTCTAAAATGATATGTGTGCCGTTACTGAGGCTTCAACTTCCCTTCCCTCCCACCCAATCCTCAGTTAAAGCCTTGGGGAACCTAACTTTTACATTGAGGGATGGAGGAAAATTCAGACTGTCACCAGAACCATTAGAATTCCCCCTGTGAGGATAATGAATACCTTGACAAGGACCAAAGTGTTGCCTTTTAGATAGTGATCAATGCAGTTATGCCTTATAATGTTACTATGCTTAAGGGTGTCTCAGTATACAAACTTAATTATTCCACCTAATGTTTTGTTTACACTGATGAAACATGATCATATCACTGCAGTCAGTCATGTAAACTATTCTTAGACACTAATACAACAAAGCCCACCCTCCCGCTAACTAATAATTGAGATATTAAAGCAATATACAAAGATGGAGCCAGATTTTTAAGCGACTCTGGTGCCTACATAGAATGTAGTCATGTCAAAACAGGCAATTATGCATAATGACAATAAAACAATTTCTTAAGCTGCTTAAAGGTTCTAAATACAATTTAACCCATTTAACTGATCAAATCCCTGTGTTGACCACTAAGCTAAGGTCACATGTGCCTGTAACAAAAATATTTGGGCAATTTATTTTTGTTTAAATGTTTAAGAGTGAAACCTGTGAATTGTTCATTTAGGTAGTTTGCCCAATCAGACCACAATCTACTCAATAACTGGAAACATACTGGTCAGAACAACCTCTGAAATGAAAGAATCACCTAATTACAAATTACATTAGTAAGACAGGTAAGTCAAACCTCCCAGCTTAACGTACCTTAGCACACTGCATGTGGTTGCAGCCCTCATTTTTCTGGATTGGGGACTTGCAGTTGGCACAGGGTTTGGCGTTAGAGAGCAACCATAAGCAGTTGGCTGCATCCTCGTAAGCTTCGCTCACACCAGCCACTTCAATAGGAGAAGGGGGAGGTAAACAGAACAAATAAAGAAATAATGAGACAGAATGAGAATGGCTATTAACACAGCGCTGAAACAGACCACTGCACTGAGTGGGAAATTGTCCTGCCTGACTAATGTGTATTGCTTATATATTTAGTTAACATCTCCCAAGATGCTCATGCAACCCCCCCCCCCCACACACACACACACACACACATCCCAACCACACATACACAAACAGAATAATTGGCTATTATCAAAGCACCTCTGATGTGCCGTTTGAAATGCCAAGATAAAACAGAATCTGGGGAAATCGAATCGGAATCGAAGGGGAAGATAGTTCCACAACAAAATAATTGCTTTCATCTTTCGACTGTCACATCAACAAAGTGGCACTTTAGAGCGACTTGGGCCGCCTTAAATCATCTATTAGATTGCCCACAGTCCAATTACTGCTTCTAAACATTGCAAACTTTCAATGAGTGGGTTGTTCATTTTAATTAATAATTTATCATCAACATGGTGGATTTTAATTGGCTTAGCACTAAACTGTTTGTAATTATTGGGGTTGAGTTTGAGGCAGTTAAGTTTTAAATCAATCACTTGACTTCAACCCGAAAAAGTGGGCAAAGAAAGGGGGGATAGGTTGGTTAAAACTAGGGCTGTAGCGATACACT